GTCAAGTATAACTCAGTGGCCCTATGAATAACAGATATGAACCTTGTGCTATTCTGTGCCAACCTTATAATCTCTGACACTAAGGACACACCTTAGTCCTCAAAACAACATCATTGCTTCTCAGGAATTGATAGTCCTGACTGCATATACTTTCCCAGTACAATACATTTCCTGATCTCCTGATTTTTGTTTTCTTGATGTTGAGATGCAATCCATATTGAAGACTGCACTATTTTATCTTCTTCAGCAAGTGCTTCAGGTTCTGGCAACATGCCCAAAGCTTGTGAGATGAAATTTCACCATCTTTGACTTTAGGAAGCACCCTGGTTGCATTTTCTCCAATTCAGACTTGTTTGTTCTTTTGGCAATCCATGGGATATTCAATATTCTTTGACAACACCACAAGACAAAGCCATCAATTCTTCTTCTATCATTTTATTTATTGTCTAATTTTCAGATGTATGTGATGCAATTGAAATTGCCATGACTTGGATCAAGCTCACCTTAGTCTTTAAACTGATATCCTTGCCTTTTAGCATTTTAAAGATGTCCTTGACAACAGATTTTCCTGATGCAGAGCTGGACAATGACCAAGAATGACAGAAGAAAAATTGATGCTTTTGAACTGAGGTGCTGGAGAAGAGGCTTGAACATACCATGGACTGCCAAGAGAACTAATAGATCTGTCCTAGAAAGGGTGAAACCAAACTACACCTTGGAGACCAGGATTTTGAGACTCTGTCTCATATACTTTGGGCATGTAACCAAGAGGGAACAATCTTTAGAGAAGGATTTCATACTTGGGAAGGTCAAGGGACACCACAGGAGAAGAAGGCCACAGATGAGATGGATTGACACAATAACTGGGGAAATGAGGGTAGATGCATCAGAGGCAGTGAGATTGGCTCAGGATAGAGCAGGATTCAAAACTATTGCGTATAGGGTCGCTGTGAGTCATAGTCAATTCGAGAACAAATAACAACAGCAACAATGAACCATATTGTTGATTATGGATCCAAGCAAAATTAAATGGTTTACAACTTCCTTCCCCCTGTCCCCTGCCCCTTCTATCCGTGTGGGAAGCTCTGATGGTCTAGTAGGTAAGGAGTTGTACTGCCAACCCAAAAGCATGTGATTTGGATCCACCAACGTCTCCATGGGAAAAAGATGAGAACTCTCCTGAACTGTTTACAGCCTCAGAAGACTCTAGAGGGTCAGTTAGGAGTGATAAGTGAGTGAGTGGTCATGATGTTGCCTACTGGCCCTTTGATGAAGATTTTTTGTCTTCTTAAAGTTGAGATATGATCCATATAGAAGGTTATATATAGTCTTTGATCTTCTGCAATGAGTGATTCAAGTCTCCTTTACTTTCTGCAAGCAGGGTTGTGCCATCTGCATAACGTAGGTTGTCGATGGGTCCTAATATTCCATGTACTGCCACATTCTTCTTCATTTTGCCCAGCTTCTCAAATTATTTGCTCAGTATTCAGACTGAATAGTTTGGAGAAAGGCTATCAATCACCCAGATGCATACACACATTTCCCAGTTTTAAACCATGAAATATTTTAGGGGCGGGGGGCAATTAAAACATGACAGGAAGGCTCTCTCTCTCTCTCTCTCTCTCTCTCTCTCTATCTTCTGGTTCCAGTTTCCCACTACCGGAACCAGGGTCCAAAGGACTTGATCTGCTCCCACATCTTCTACCTTGGTGGCACTGAGGCTTCCCCCTCTCTGTTCACTTCTCGGTCCTTTGCCTCTCGTAAGACCAAAGGCAGTGCTGGCCACTTACCAGGGAAATTTCCCAGGGCTATGACTGAGTGAGGCTAGTAGATCCTGCCCTAACCCCCTTCTTGGTTGGTCACAGCAGAGCCCATCATATGGATAATGACGTCATTCTGTAACTGCCTCTAACCTTGTCATGTTAACATCAGAAAGGTTAAAATTTACAACACATAATAATATTCAATGTGTCAAAGTAATCTACATCACATATAATACAAGATACATAATAATACAAAATAATACCACATAATAATAATATATATATATATATAATAATGTGGCACCAGGATTAGAGGCATGTTGTTGTTGTTGTTGTTGTTATGTGCCGTTGAGTCACTTGCAACTCATAGTGACCCTACGTACAACAGCCCTAAACTCTGCTCTGTCCTGTGCCAATCGCACTGTCTCCGACACTCCCATCCCGATTACCCCAGTCACTGAATCAATCCACCTCATAGAGGGCCTTCCTCTCCTGCACCTGCCCTCCACCCTCCCAAGCATGATGTCCCTCTCCAAGGACCGGTCTCTCCTCACAACATGTCCAAAGTATGTTAGACGGAGCCTCAGAATCCTTGCCTCCAAGGAGCCACCCGGTTTAATTAGAGGCATACTCATCAATAATCTTGGGCATGTAGATGACACAATTTTCCTTGCTGAAAGTGAGGACTTGAAGCACTTGTTGAAGATCCCACACTGCAGCCATCCTTCAATATGGATTATATCTCAACGTTAAGAAAACAGAAATTCTCATCCTTGGACCAATCGACAACATCATGATAGATGGAGTAAAGATTGAAACTGCCAACAACTTCATCTTAATTGGTTCCACTGTCAATATACTTTGTATAGCAGTCAGGAAATCAAGAGATGTATTGCACTGGGAAAGTCTACCACCAGGGACCCTTCCAAATTCTTGAGGATCAACGATATTTGAAAACTAAGGTGCACCTGATTCAGGCCATGATCTTTTCAATCACTTGCTATGCTGCTAAATGAGAAATGAAGAATAAGGATGACAATAGAATTGATGTTTTTGAAGTGTGGTGTTGGAGAAGAGTACTGAATATTCCATGGACTGCCAGAAGAACAACCAGATATGTCTTGGAGAAAGTGCAGCCTTGGAGGCAATGATGGTAAACTTTATCTTGCGTACTTGGAGCATGTTTATAGGAAAGGCTATTCTTGTAAAGAGATCTTGTGCTTGGAAAGGTGGAGGGGCAGTGAAAGAGAGGAAGACCCTCCACCAGCCTGATTGACATAGTGACTGTTGCAATGGGCTTAAGTGTTTCAGAGATTGTGAAGATGGCACATGATAGGATAGAGTTCAGATCTGTTGTGTTTTTGGTTGTTTTTTTTAAAAACTGTTGTTCTTAGGGTCGCTATGGATTGTACTGAACTCCTTGGCACCTAGCAAAAACATAATAATGACACTAGACTGAGCATCATGGCCTAGCTAAATTGACACATATTTGGGGGAGGGGGAATACAACTCTATCCATGACAGACACTTAGGGGCCTGGCCCCTTTTTCAGCTCACTGAGAGGCAAGCTTGAGTCTCCATGATCTCCACACTGATGGATGCCATGTCCCTCCGCTATGTCCCTCATGGCTTCCCTTTTCTTTCTAACGCCCAGGATCTGAGGATTGAAGACAACCAAAAAAACTCAAACTCATTGCCATCGAGTTGGAACTGACTCACAGTTGACCCTCAGTGGATTTTTGAAGGCTGTAAATCACACAGGAGCTCATCCATCATTCTCTCTTGGAGCTGCTGGTGGATTCGAACAGCCAGTGAGGCCTGGCATTTGGGCTGTCAGTGTAACTAGCTGTGGACTCTGTCACCAGACCACCATTGAAGATGACAAGAGAGGGAAATTTGTCCTGCCTCACACATATCTTTCCAGCCTTTCATCTCAACTGAGACTTTTGAATTGAAAAGTGCAAAATTCAGGAATTGATCTTTACTTTCCAACTCCATTTCTCCTGGGGTGGGGGTGCATCACTCACAGTGACGTCCCGCTGTGCACAACCAATCAGCCCGTGAGCACAGCTCTCCTCATTCAAGTCTCATGTTCAGTCAGAATCTGAGGGGCCATGTTGGCCAACCTCCAGGCCAATGCTCTCATCATCCAATAAACTGAGGGTCAAAGAGGGACACAGATCCATCCAAGTGCTCAGAGAAGGGTCCCGGAAAGATCCAGGCCTCCTATGCAACACATTTTCCACAGTATTAGGGAGACAGCATCTAGTTATGCCCAGAATTTGCTTGGACACAACCCAGCTCTTTCTTAGCCATCTGCCTTCACGATAGTTAGGACAGCATGACCTGTGGCCCAGTTGGACCCACTGCCCCTTTTGGGGGATGTTTCAGGGGAATGTCTACCAAAGCTTCCTGCACACATTTCTCAGAACAAGCCTGTTGTTCTCCTTACCCTACAAGAACCTCTCTCATCTGTGGATGCCTCAAATCCCACTATTCATGCCCAAACTTAAGCTGTTTAGTCTATTCCCATTTATGACATCTCCCTATCTTTTAGACTAGAAGTGCATGACTCATATGATTTTCTGGGCTGTGAGCTTGTGAGAGGGTATCACCAGGACTTTATTCCAATGTACTTCTGAGTAGCCGAGCTCTTAATTCGTTTTAGACCTGCTCCAGTTTGAATGCTTCCACTAACTAGATAGTAGTCTCAGAGTTGAAACAATCTCTTTCTCCCCCCCTCCACCTCCCACCCCAGAAAGGGCTCCTGAGGGCAGAGGTATGGCTACCCCTCCTTGTGTCCCCAGCCCAGGCCTGGGGGAAGTGGACTGAACAGTTGACATCCCTGCCAGTGATGGGGGATTCTGTCCAGTTGCTGTCCAGACAGGGTTGCCATATGTGGGCAGTATCAGCTCACTTAGGCTCTGGGTCTGAATTTATGCTGAGAGCCCCTTTAGCTCCAGTATGGCCTTTTAAACCCAGTGGGGAGATTTTCTGGGGGCCATTGGCTAGAGCTCCTGGGAGAACTGGAGTGGATTTGCATAAAAAAGAACACTGACTTCATTGAAATTCTCCTCATCTTGAGTGAAACAAAACCAGGAAGAAAAGGAAAGTTTTAATCCTGAGCAACTTCACTGCTGAGGAGCATTTTGCACTTCTAAATATAGAGGAAATGGGCCTTTCTAGGCCACTCCTGCCACCGGCTCCCCCCACCCCCGCCACCCCATGCCCGCCCCCATGGCCCACTCAAGGCCAACCTCTTGCCACTGGGCGACAGACCAACTTCTTAACAGTGAGTGCCCTTGCCTGAGGCCACAAAGTTCTGAAGCTGGACGCAGCTGCTCCTTCGAGGACCCCAGCATGCCGGACAGCAGAGAGACCCCACAGGAGAGTGGGCAAGACACAAGCTTGGGGACCCCTCGAGAAAATGCAGGGACCAGGTAAGCTGGTGGTCACATTATCTGTAACTACCTTCTGAGTCAAGTTCTGACCTGGGCTTTGCTGTGTGAGCATAGGTGGGCTGCTTCCTCTTTGGGCCTCAATGTCTTCTAGGAAACAACAGAGAAAAGCCAGGTGACTTCAGAGATGGAGGAAGCGCTGGGCTGGGTCTCACCATATTTGGAGCTTCGACTCTGCAGAATTGGAGGAAGGATTGAAAGTCTTACCCCAAGAATGACATGTCAGGGGTGTGGGATGGGAGCTGCAGTTGGAAGGAGAAAAGTCTTTTATCAGGCAGTTAGAAACTTCCCTGACTCCTCAGTGGGCCCTTTGGCAGCAGAATCAATGACAGGATGTGGGTCTAGAAGTCCCAACTGCAGTTTTCAATGGTGACATGGACAAATCCCCTCACTCTCTTGAGTACAGCTTCCCTGTATGTATGTGAAAACAGAGTTAAAGTTTTCCTGAAATGTCTCTGCTTATAGGTCTCCTGCTCACCCCTGACTTAGAGACCAGGCAAGGGTGAGCTGATTCAGACTCTCTGCTGCCCCATGTGTATCAGAGAATTGTGCTCCCTCCATATGCTTTTCAAGGCTGCTTTGTTTGGAAGTTACCCCCCAAGGCTTTCTTCCAAGGTACCCATGGGTAGATTTGAACCTTCAAACTTTGGATAAGCAACCAAGTGCATTAACGGTTTGCACCATCTAGGGAATCCTATCATTCTGAGAAAGTGAACTGAATGGGTCAGACATTCAGCAACACCCATTCTTGAAGGAGAGAGAGATAACCTGGGGTGTCTGAAATGGGCCTCGGACAATGGGGCCACTAAAAGAGAGAATAGGGAGAGCAATCTGGGTGAAGGGGAAAGTATGGGCAGTGGGAAGATGATTCCAAGGAAGGCAGACAGGAAATTCAGGGATAAGAAATCTGTGGAGCTGGAGAGCAGAATGGGGGAAAGGCTGGGTTAATTGAGTGAGTCAGAACACACTGTGGCAAGTGGAAGAGATGGTCAGAGTTTGACCTAAACTGCCCACCAGTCTGATTGGGGCGTCATGAAGGATGGTCTGGAAAAGGAGTCAGTGCTTCAAGGGTCTTGGGATATACCCTCCAAGGATGGTGGCTCCGAATCCTGCCTTCTCCCAACCCCTTTCTTTCCCCCACCCCAGTCTCTCAGAAGATGCCACTAAACCAGAAGTGGATTCTGCTGCCCTCTTAGAAGCAGGGGCTTCTCACCTGCAAGCCTCCAAGGGCATGAGGTCCAGAGGCTGAGCCCCCTGAGGGCCAAGAAGCCCCTGGGTGAGCTGGTGAACCAGAGGTGGATTCTAGATCTACTCTGGGACCTGATTATCCTGCCCCCTACCCCCTTCAGAGGAGCTCAGGAAGCAGTGGGTGTTGCTGCCTCTGCCTGTGACTCTCACTGACATTTCTCTAAAGCTCAGTTCATGGCAGTTGCAAACAGGATGTACTGGTCCTTTTCCCCTACCAGTGAGAGGAGGACAGGACTCTAGGTGGGAACCAAAGTGTAGGTCTGGAGCTCTCAATGTTTTTGAAGCCCACTTCTCAGGTCCATAGTGACAAAAGTTGACAGAGGGGGCTGTGTGCCGAGCAAGAGACTGGCCGTGCACTGGACAGGTCTGGGGTGCTCTGGAGACATCACCAGTGCTGGAGTGGAGACTCAGGCTGATGCAAGGAAGGATTAATGGTTGAGGGGTCCCAGGAAGGGAGGAGAAGAGGGGAATCCAGATATAGTTATCTAGCTTTGCTGCTTTTTTGCTAAAATACTCTGAGCCTCAATGTCATCTTCCATGCAAATGAAGGCATAATGCCAAACTCCCATTGACCATGTATGTAGAAGTATTGACAGGCTACTTCTGGTAGCTGGTGTAGATGAAAATGCTTTCAAAAGCAGAAGAATTACTCACCTCAGACAAAGCCACCTCACAGCTACTCCCCAGAAGTCTCTTAGCAGCAGCTAAGAGAGGGAGACCTTGGGATAAAGTCCCTATCTGTTCCTCACTGTGACCCTGAGTAAGCCAGTTATCCTCTCTGAGTGTCTATTTCCCCAGCTGTTAAGTACTATTACTATCAGAGATCTTATTATGTACAGCTTTAGGTAGAGCCTGATTCTGTTGTGTCATCCTCAAAATGCCCAGCATGTTTGAGCCCACTGGGGAGTTATCTACCAGTCCATCTAGCTGAAGGTCCCCCTCACCCCATCTTTGGCCCTCTTGGCCCTCCTTCTGATGATAATGTTTAAAGCAAACAAACTAAGCTATATTCTGCTGCAATTCATTTGGCTCACTTTTTTAAAGTAGTTCATGGATCATCCTGGTTTGTGTTAGCCTAGAAATTCCACCATATATGTCTTAGTTATCTAAAGTAGCTGTAACAGAAGTACAACAAGTGGATGACTCTAAACGAATTTATTATCTCACAACTAAAAGGCCAGAAGTTCAAGGTGCTGGCTCTACCTCTCTGGGTCTCTTCATTCTAAGAGTTTCTCAGCATAGGACTCTGGGTCCAAAGAATATACTCCACTCCTGGTTCTTCCTTTGGGGTAGTACTGAGGTCCCACTCTCACTTCTCTCTCTTTCATCTCTTGTAAGACAAGGGGTGATACAGACTACACTCCAGGGAAATGCCTCCTTAGAAGTGTGAGCTAACCCCGATTCCCACTGATGGACTGATCACATTATTTATCACCTTATGGGAAAGGATTACATCATCACATAACTGCCTCTAATAATAATTACATAATAGTAGGAACAGGGGCCTAGGACCATCCTCGATAGGACGGTGATATTTTGTCTCACATACTTTGGGCATGTGAGGAGGAGCCGGCCAGTCCTTGGAAAAGGATATTTATGCTGGGAAAGGTGGAGGGTCAGAAGATGAGAGGAAGACCCTTAAGATGGATCGACAGAGTGACTGTCACAATGAGCTCTAGTATATCGGAGCTGCTGCTGATGGCACAGGATAGCGCAAGGTTCAGATCTGTTGTTCATAGGGTAGCTGTGAGATACAATCAACTTGACAGAACCTTACAACAACAGCATCATTGAGCTTAAGGCGTACAGTAATAAACAGTGGGAATCACTGCCCACTACCAACTCAACTCACGTTTGGAGGCGGGAGACATAATTCAGTCCATGGGTTTTTTTGAATACTGGTGGCATAGGTTTCAACTTCACAGCACCATGAAAGCCACCACAAGGCAACAAACTGACAGACAGGTGGTGGATGTGTCAAGCAAGGGAAAATAATGCTCTACCTTGGAGAGAGACTATGAGGAGAGAACACTGAACTCTGCTAGCATTGGTTTTAAATTCAAATAGCGATTTCTTCTCAGCCCCAGCAGCAGAGGTTCACCCAGTGGCCCTCCCTGGCCTTGTAGTCCTGGAGGCTGTTCCTGGGGGAGGATGAGCTTGCATTGATCCAGTGGCCTGGTGGGGCCTTCTCTTCCTGCCCCACCCCCAGCGAGGCAAAGCTGGGAGGCAGTGGAGAGGCAGAGAGCTGGAGGAGAGTTTGCACCCTGGCCTGACCCACATGAATTCTCTTTTGTGTTACCCAGTTACAGGGCTGGAACTGAGTGGTGTGAGCAGTGTCTGGAGAGAGAAAATCAGGCTGGGGCCAAGAGGGGCTGAGCTCACCAGGATTGCGTTGGCAGTGGTCCGACATCCTGTGCTCTGTCCTCTTTGAGGCTGAGACTATAATCCATGCCATGCATCAGGGGCACCATGGGGAATATCCAGAGACAGGCTTGCGCCTGGGCCTGAGTTCTCTTCCTGTTAAGCCCTCTCTCTATCCAGCCTCTCTGAGCCTGCAGAATCCCAGATTGGAGAAAGGGCTTTTTGGGAGCTGGGGGAAAAAAGTTGTGAGTGTCCAGATTGGCAGGTAGGGGTATCATGCACTCAAAGGTGTGCTCAGGGAAGAATTGCAAGTGGCCATCACACCTGTCAGGTTGGAGCTAGGGTCACTCTTGGGTCTGGGTAGGCTGGAATGGCCAAACTAGAGGAGCAGAGAGACAGAGAGGAGCTCCTGAGGTACAGATGCAGCGGTCACCTGGGAAGAGCTTAGTTTTAGGAAGATGAGTCTAGCAGTGTTGAGTATAGCCTAGACTAGAGGTGGGTCATCCATGCTTCTTAAAAAAGTATTTGCTGTGAATAAAACATTGAATATACAAAATTCAATCATTTGCTCTCCTGCCTCATTTCTGTCATCAAGTCTGTACTTTCCAACTATGATTCTTTCCTCATTGTTTCCAGCTTTTGCATTCCAATCTTCAATAATGACTAATGTATCTTGAGTCTGTGTTTGATCAAGATATGACTGTAAAAGTTGGCCAAAAACCTCAATATCCTCCTCTTTGTCTTTGTTAGTGTATATATTTGAATAATAGTCATGTTAACAAGTCTTCCTTGTATGCATATGGATATAATCCTCTTCCTCACAACATTGTGCTTTAGGATAGACCTTGAAATTGTCCTCTTTTTGTTATGAATGCCACACCATTCTTCTTCAGTCTTTCATTCCTAGTATAATAGATCATATGATTATCTGACTCAGTGTTGCTGGGAGAGGCTGTTCCTTAGAAAAGGATATCATGCTTAGAAGGGTGAAGAGTCAGCAAAAGAGAGGAAGCCCTCTTTGAAGATGGGTTGACATGGTGACTGCAGAAATAGCAATGTATCAGAGATGGTGAGAATGGCACAGAATAGGGCACGATTCAGATCTGTTGTTCATAGGATCTCTATGAGTTGACTCAGTGGCACCTAATAATAGCAACAAGGGGTAGGCAGGATGTCAGGGGAGGAGAGCCTGCAGGGTTGAGTCTGGCCCAAGGAAGGATGATGAGGCTGTAAACCAAGCACTCACCTGGGCCTCCAATCCCGCCTGCCCAAACAGGAGCTCCTCAGAACCGAGGAGTGAGATAACCATGAAGGGCTGTTTTCTATGAGTTCAGTGAGAGCCTTTCTCTCTGTCTAGACTATAAGGACCAATT